TACCAAAACCTGAGGGTCTGGGACCTGGGCAGGTTAGAGGCTCAAGTTCAGACTTCAGCAGCAGAGCAGGGTCAGACCTTGCCAAGGTCAGAACTCAAGGTTCATGTATGTCCTCAGATCCCGCTCCCAGGCCCTGTCCTTCTCCTCCTGCCTTTTCTCCTCCCTCCGGCTCAATGTAGTCACCTGAGGGGCTCTCTCCCTCCCAGCCACTGCCCGGGTATCCTTAGCCCCAAAGTGTGTGACTCGGGGTTGGGGCGTTGATCTGTATCCTAATCCTTCCTGGTCCCTCTTGAGGACTGTGGGGATGGGGTTGACACGGCCCTTGCCCCAGGGTCCCAGCCCCATTCCAGGCTCCCAACCCCCCCTCAGCAGTAGCTTGAAGCCTGGGCTGGAGGTGGGAACCCCAAGAGGCAGGCTGGGGGTCCGGAGACCCCAGGACAGTGACAGCAGGTGAGCAGTAGATGTGCGATGGTTAGAGTCTTGGAAGTGGGCATCACAGGTCTCACAGTACTGCAGGGAGGGGGATTGGGACCTGCAGAGGAAGAAGAGAAAGGGTTGAGGACAGGGTGGGACACGGTCCTTCCAGTTTTTCTGCTAAGGAAAAAATTGCCTTCTGCCCCACTTAACAATGAAGGACCAGAGGGGAATAGTTGGGCGAAGAGATGGTAACTAGGCCTCACAAGGCTCTTGGGCAAAAGAGGAATGATAATAACGACTACAGTGGCAAGCACTGTTCTAACACTTTACATGTATTATTGCATTTAATCCTAACAACCCTATGAAAGGTGCTCTTATCCCCATTTCTCAATGAGGAAACTGGGGCACATAGACACTAGGTTGCTTGCCCAAGTACAGTTAGCATTTTATCCCAGAGAACTCATGTTCATAACCACTCTAGTACACTGCGTCCCCGATCAACCTATACGGGGAAAGGGGAGAGAACCCTTCAGCTCTGTGCTGAGGCCTCTGGTGTAGAGTGACTAGGAAAGGCAGAACACACTGAAAGGTCAAGGGCAAAGGCATCTCCTCACCCGCTCTCTGGGCTCCTCGTCTCTCCAGAACTCCTCATCTCTCCGTGGCTCTCTCTGACGATGCGGGCCACCTCAGGGAAGCCCGCTTCTTCGGCCAGCTGAGCAGCATCCCTGCCACCCAACTCGCAGACCCCAACCCAGGCAGCCCCTCGGCCTAGGAGATAACGCACAGCCGCCTCCTGGCCTGCTCGGGCCGCACACATCAGGGGGGTCCACCAGAAGGCATCCCGAGCATTGATATTCCCCCCAGCTCCTCCTGCCTCATAGGGATCCAAGAGCCTTCTCAGTTCTGCCAGGTTCCCCTCCTGGGCTGCCCTCAGTATCCACTGAGTCATCTTGTCCTCAACCTCAAGGGATCTTTGTCCATGCCCTCCTGATGTTCCTGCTGCAGCCTCCCTCATCCTTCTTCTCTTCTTCCGCTTTCTCTCATTGGCAGGCTCAGCCTGTGATCTCTGGGGTTCAGGGGCACTGCTCTCATCCCTAATCAAAGCCTCATAGAAAGCCCGGGCTGCAGCCCCATCTATGATGGGCTCCTGCTCTTCTGACTGAGACTGCTGCCGCCCATCTTTCCAGAGATCGCTGGGGTCGGTGGCTGGGGTGAAGGTGATGAGGGAGGGCCTGGACATGGCTTTGGGAGAGCTGAGAAAATCAGACTAGGCAAGGGGAAGATGAGACAAGCAAGCCAATCCCGTGGTGGCCCTGCAGTGACCACGGCCACCTCCAGAGACCTGCTGGGGAGAGGGAAAGTAGCCTAAGAGTTAAAAACAAAACAAAACAAAACAAAACAAAACAGGGCCGGCCAAGTGGCGCGATGGTTAAGAACTGGCTTCGGACGC